TTATTTTTTTTTTTTTATTCAATTTTGGGATTTTTTCAACTAAAAAGTGATCATCAGTCTAAAATGTGTATTAAGCGGATCACTTTTTTTCAAAGTCAGCACTGAGTGCGAAAATAAGAATCGTACAGTTTCTTAACCTTGTCTATCTATCTATCTATCTATCTATCTATCTATCTATCTATCTATCTATCTATCTATCTATCTATCTATCTATCTCTCGTGTAGTACATCTATCGCTTCTGTGTTCAGTAGCGCTTCCGTCACTGTCATGAATGCTAGATTATCTAGGTACTCAAATAGGTATTTTTAAATCTTGTTCAGATTTTGTAAAACAGGTTGATCTTCCCATTTCCTTGGTGCCCATGGTAAGATTTTAGTAGGTAACCATGTCCTACATACTGTATACTTCCCTATCGATGGTAAATAAGTAAATGTCTTATCGCCTGATTATTCATCGTCACTACCTGTTTTGCGATGCACTTTATTCCAATCGTTGGTCTGCTCCTCATCCTCTACTTCAACGTGGTCCAAGCTGTTCTCATCCTCTGTTGCTGGCTGTGTGTGTTTCACCATTGGTTTTCTAATGTGCTTGACATAACTTGCTTAGCTCTATTTCTTAATTTTGTAGTGGAATATTCCTTTAAACTCTAATATGTGCCTGTGTTGCAATTAATACCGTTAATATTACCATTTTAGTGGTCATCTATAAATTACCTAAAATATTTTTCGTTTATTTAGATACTTTTCATGTATGTATAGACATACTAATATATGTGAGGCTCTGCTCCCCCTGCACGCTTCACGTGTCATCCACCTATTTATGAATAAGAATCTATCACATAGGATTTGAGGTAGGAGATGAAAGGTTAAAAAAAAAAAGTTAAATTTCTTTTTTTATTAAAGAACACTGCTTTACACTATAACTTATACAAATTGTATAATTAACTAGCAAAACCAGCGAACCCCGCTTTGCCACCAGATGGCTTCGTTTTATGTAACATTTCGTTTGGTGATTAAAAGATAAGGAAAATTTTTTTTTTCTTTAATATTTGAATAGGAAAAATTCTATTTTATTTCGCAACAGTAATGAATTCATTTCGATTACAAAAATGAAGTGTTATTTAGTTGAACTTCTTTAAGTAAATGAAAGTGAATCCAAAGTAAATACTGAATCAAAGCGTTATGCGTGTCCGCAAATTATCCGTTTCATTGAAGTGCTCTTGGGTAAACCACATTTTTTGTTTTTTGGTCTGACGATAACACAAACAAAGCGGATGGTTTCCCAACTCGTGAACACCTCAAGTATAACTGTCCATGTGAAAAACAATGATTTTTTAAATTTATCTCGCAAATACTAAGCAATTGGCCTTGCGACTTGTTAATTGTCTTTGCGAACGCAAAGCGAGCTGGAAATTGCAATCGTTTGAAGTCAAACGGAAGATCAGTCGGAATCATTGGTATTCGAGGAATACATACATTTTTACCTGCGTACTTTTCATAATTAATGGTTGTCTCAATCAAATTTGGCGTAAGTCTTTTTACCAAAAGTCGAGTACCGTTGCAAAGTGGTGGTAGATTCAAATTATGCAATATCATAATAACTGTATTAACTTTGAGTTGCAAGTTATGTGGTGAAAATCCTGGTAACTCTAGAGAGTTCAAAAACTCTGTTAGATAATTAACTACATCATTGGGATTTGTTATGGAATCAATGAATTTGTATGTCACCAAATCGCCAGCAATTTTTGATTGAATGGTAAAATTCAGTGTGTGTACATTATTAATCTTTGCGGAAAGAATGGCTTGTTGACTAAACCAAGCATAATTCTGATAATTCTCACTAATGTTTGGGAAAACATTTTCAATAAGAGATAATTGAGAGTCTACAAATCGGCCAAAGTCATTGGTAAGAGTAATTAATCCAGATGTCGCATCAACTGGGACTTTTCCATTTCCAACAGCTAACAATTGTTTGGAAAATTGTGCAGCACTCTGATTATTTTAAAGTTTAACTCTCGTATTAGTGGTTAGTGATAATGTTTTTACGTTATTCCATAAAGGTGATGCCTTCGGGCAAGCATTCAATTCATCTGTAGGCGTTCCACGGGGAATTACTGTCAACGTCTGCCTAAAATCGCCTGCCAACAATATCATCAAGCCGCCAAAGATGTTGTTATTTCGCCGAAGATTCTTCAGTGTGAAGTTAAGTGCTTCAAGTGATTTCTTATGTGTCATTGTGCACTCATCCCAAAAAATGAGCTTGCATTGCATCAACAATTTTCCCATTGCACTGGATCGGGAAATATCGCATGTTGGAGTATCAATTGTGTTTAAATTGAGTGGCAACTTAAGCGCAGAATGTGCAGTACGACCGCCATCTAGAAGAGTCGCCACAATTCCAGATGATGCTAACGCCAAAACCATGTCACATCTTGATCGAATAGTGGCCAAGATAAATGAAATGACAAATGTTTTCCCTGTTCCTCCAGGTGCGTCCAGCAAGAATAGACCACCAGTATTATTGTCCACCGCTTGCATTAATGTTTCGTATACCTGTTTTTGCTGTCCACTCAGCAACGGCACATTATTTCGAACGAATTCCTGCAATTTATCAACATTGTATTGCAGCTCTTAATTTAATTCTGGGTTGAATGCATCGTGCAATCGATTTGGCGCAATCATTCCTATTTTAATCAGTAGCTTGTTTGCAATAGTCAAGCATTGATCCTCAATCAGAAACAATCCTTCATTGTAGATTTCAACGGTTATTTGGATGTCAGGATTATTCGTTTGAATGCACAAGCGATGCAAGATATCGTCACATATGTCGTCTTTGTATTTATTCCATAACTGAATTGGTTGTGAAAGAAAACATGTGGTGATGATAATTGCGAGCACCGTTCGTATTTGATACGCATTTGATGAAACAACTGAGTCCGCAAGTGTTAAATCCCAATGAGAATCGTTCTCCAGCAAACCCAATAGTTGACATACTTCTCGATATATTTCGCATTGGTGGCCATTCACAGTTTTCAAATGCGCAAATGATTTTGGTCCACGTACATTACCAACAGCAGTTGCAAATAAAAACATTCATCATTTCTAGGATGAACAGTATACATGCGACCTAGTGCATCAGTGGAAAACATCTGTGGCCAATCTGGAACTGGGATTCCTTGTTTGCGATGTTGGAATTTCTTTGTTGATTGATTCCAAGTGTAATATTTGGGCATTTAAACGTACATCAGCGTCACTGTATGTATATTGTGCGTCTTCCATTTAACGACGAAGTAGCGGATTTAGGAAACTCTCGCGCGCAAGCTCTTCGTCGGTTTCATGCGATGCGCCGGAAATTGCAAGCAGACGATGAACTCAATCGCGAATATACGAAGGTACTTGACGAATACATAGCACTCGGACATATGACGTTGTTGCAAAATGAAACACCAGACGGATACTACATGCCACATCATGCGGTCGTAAAATCGTCGAGCAGTACGACAAAGGTGCGTGTAGTATTCGACGCGTCCGCGAAAACCGACAGAGGCGTCTCTTTAAATCAAAAATTACTTGTAGGCCCCACCATTCAACCGAAACTTTTCGAACATTTGATGCGATTTCGATCTTATGCGTTCGTCTTAACCGCAGACATAGAGAAAATGTATCGGCAGGGGTCACGTTTGGAGTCGCCTCTGCTCCCTATCTCGCGATACGAACGCTTCACCAGTTGGCGGACGATGAGGGGCGCGATTTTCCGCGAGCAGCAAAAATTTTGAAACGCGACTTATACGTTGATGACCTGTTAACAGGTGCAAATTCGATCGAAGAACTTGCGATACTTCGCGACGAAATTATCGGTATCTTGGGGCGCGGAAAATTCAATATTCGACAATGGGCATCCAACCATCAATACGCGTTCGATACGCTAGATCGGAAAATTTTTGAGAGTGATTGTGCGGTGAAGACGGAAGCAGTTTCGAAAACACTCGGGGTAACTTGGGATTCGCGAGCGGATACGTTTATTTATACCGTCAAAGAAATTACAATTCCAAATAAAATCACGAAGCGTCATATACTTTCCGAGATTGCAAAGATTTTTGATCCACCGGGTTTATTGGGGCCGGTAGTTCTGTACGCAAAATTAATTATTCAGGAGTGTTGGAAACAAAAGTGTGATTGGGACGAATCGATACCGCAGGAGTTGTATTCGCGATGGGTGGAGTTTGCGAACCAGCTGTCTCTCATCCGCAATTTTGCAGTAGACCGAAAAATCCTTATCGATGGGCCTACGAAAATCGAGTAACATGGATTTTGCGATGCGAGTCTATTAGGTTATGGTGCTTGTTTTTATTTGCGTTCAGTAGATCGGTATGGAAATTGCGTTGTGCGTCTGGTATGTGCGAAGTCTCGAGTAGCTCCGGTAAAGTCGAAAACGATCCCGCAACTGGAATTATGCGGTGCCCTACTCCTCGTGGGATTGTACAGTGAAATGCGTCCATCTCTAGAATTTAAAATTCATAAAGTAGTACTCTGGTCGGATTCAACGATCGTATTGCATTGGCTTAGAAAATCACCGGAAACTCTTAAAGTTTTCGAAGCAAACAGAGTTAGCAAAATTCAAGCGCTGGACGTCGTTCACGAATGGATGCATGTGCGAACAAAAGATAATCCGGCTGATGCACTGTCCCGAGGTCAATTACCTACCGAGTTTTTAAAAAATCGAATGTGGCTGAATGGACCTGAGTGGTTGAAAAAATCCGAAAGCGAATGGCCGAGAATGGCGTTAACGTCACCGAGCAAATTACCAGGTCTTAAGAGCAAAACGTGTCTTTTAGTAAATTCAGGGGTAGAAATTTTTTCGCGATTTTCCTCATATTCCAAGTTAGTCAACATGATTGCGTATTGTCTTCGTATGCGTCGTTCAAATAAGTTCAAAGGGAAATCGATCAGCGTTGAAGAAAAACTTGAAGCGGAGCGTCGGGTGTTAAAATTAATTCAAGCAGAGCAATTGGCTGAAGAAATCGCGCGTGTATCTGCATCTAAAAAGGTAAAAAGTGCACGGTTAGCAGCGTTCGATCCATTTGTTGATGAGCATGGTATTTTACGAGTTGGCGGACGCTTAAAAAACGCGAAAATTTCCTTCGATCAAAGGTATCAAATTTTATTACCATCGCACCATCATGTTTCTGATTTAATAATCCGAAATGCGCACTATCGTACTTTGCATGCGGGAATCCAAACTACGTTACACACTATAAGACAGCGTTTTTGGTTGTTCGACGGAAAGCAACAAGTTCGAAAAATCGTACGAAAATGCGTAGAATGCGTGCGCCATCGCTCCAATCCGATTCATAGTAAAATGGGAAATTTGCCATCAGCACGCGTTACCGAGTCAGGCGCGTTTACTCACGTAGGAATAGATTTTTTTGGGCCGATGTACATCAAAGAGAAAAAACTGCGGAATCGTAATCGCGTTAAGGTTTATGGTTGTGTGTTTGTATGTATGGCATCGAAAGCAGTGCATATCGAAATAGTGAGCGATTTAACCACCGAAGGATTTTTAGGCGCGTTTAAGCGTTTTTGCGGCCGACGCGGCATTCCCAAACACGTGTTTTCGGACAACGGCACGAATTGTGTCGGAGCAAGTAATGAACTACAAGAAATGTACGCTCTGTTCAACTCTGACCAGTTTCGTGATGATGTTGATCATTTCGCAGTCCAGAGAAACATCATCTGGCATTTCAATCCGCCGCTTTCACCACACTTTGGTGGAATTTGGGAGTCGGCAGTAAAATCGTTTAGACACCATCTGAAGCGAGTGATCGGCGAACAACTCTTAACTTTTGAAGTACTTAATACCCTCGTTATCGAAATCGAAGCAATTCTCAATTCTAGACCACTTTATAGTATATCGAATGATCCTAATGATATAGCGGCCATCACGCCGGCACATTTATTAATTGGAAGACCGTTGAATTTTTTGCCGGAAGCTGACCTTTCTTGTGTTCCAGGTAACCGATTGTCAGCATGGCGTTTCATCACGAAGGCACGACAAGATTTTTGGAAGCGATGGCACCTGGAATATTTGCATGAACTTCAACGTCGACAAAAGTGGAGCAAGTCCAATCACGAGATCGGTATCGATTCCGTCGTCCTCCTCATCGATAGAAATCAACCCTGCATGCGATGGCGGCTGGGGGTTGTCGTCGAGGTCCACCCGGGCGCTGATGGCATCGTACGAGTCGTCACCGTTAAAACTGCGCAAGGGAGCTTCAAACGCAACGTCACATCGTTGTGTCCGCTACCGATCTCATCGTCACAAGAAGACTAAATTTTCGAACGTGTTGTCTGTTTTGTATTAAACTGATTTGTGTAAACATTACTCAAATTGTAAACACACTTCCACATCACTACACTCTCACACTATCGTACGATTCGCACAGTAATCATTTTTTCGAATACGCTACACATACGATGTTTTCGATTTTGCTCGCCTTCTCTCACAACGGGGGGAGCATGTTTAGTCGAAACGACTAAAATTCGTAGACCGCCTCGTGAGCGGTGGAGGATCAACCTCGCAGCACGCCGAAGGGGGCAGCACACCGAGTTCACACAAAATTCATCACATATTCACATATGCAAGCGCCGGTCAATTTCTTTCTTACCTTCATCCTTTTTCTCCTTTTGTTTCAGTCGGTACAATTAATCGCTCTCACGCCAACTCTCATTATGTCTCTCTTTCTCTATACTCTCATTAGCTAGACATTTTCTCTCCTTCTTTATCATGCGCCTACATCTCCATCTCCTTTGCTCTTATTAAGTGTCCTCGGGTCATAGGTCTCTCCCCCTCTCTTAATTGCTTACATCATTCTCTCTCTCTTTTCCGGGCTTTTCGCATAAGGTGTAAGGGATTGATGGGTCCTGACGACTGCAGCGGGTGGGAGAATTAAAAAGGGAAGGGGAGTCTTGCAACTACTTTGGGTGGGCGCGCCGGGTCAGTTCCGAACTATCTGTCGATACAGAGCGGTCTACAGTTGTCAACTGCGATCTCGAGTATCTGGCATAGTTGGGTATTATATTCGTCCTACTGGTTTCTACATCTTTCCTCATCATTATCACGCACACGTGTATCTGGGGGTCACCTTTTTGGGGTTAATTTCTCTCACGCTTTCTTTTTTTTTATCATCATCGTCATCAGCATCATCTTCGAAAAGCTCGGCGTGCTGCGAGTAAAGCACGGCGAAAATCCGCTTCACGGTCCGTGCGACGTTTGTCGATTCGTGAGCTTTTCGAGACACGTGCGGACGCGCACGTATACGTTTTCTACACACAATATACAAATACACACTGTTCATTGCAGGAAGTTTATCTTAAATTTATTGTTCAACCTCACTCGTTTGTATTTTCATTAATTTTTCTTCTCTTGGGTTTTTCTCTTCGGAGTTTTTCCCTTGAGCCACGAAATATATCTTCGTTCGTGGCTCATAATCAGTGCATTTTAAATTTATTTCACCTAGTTTATTCCCATCCTCCGTTCCGATAAATTCAGCAAAATTGTCTTTTTTAGGTGGATTTTAATTAATCAGTTGTAAATTGAGTAGTATTTTTGTGCCGCGATCCCTCCTAAATTTTAAGTAACAAATTAGTTGACTTCGTCAAAATAGACGTAGCCAACAGGGCAGCAATACTCTTGCTACAATTCACTGCGAATAGATCTGCTTCACACATTGCAAAGAAGCTAGTCAATGTTGTCGATGGTGGTCTCTCAGCTTGTTGTGCCGCATTAGCCTCAGTGAAGTTAACTCTTTGGCCATTTTCCAAATGCACTGCTAAATATACAACTGTGGGATATCTTTCATGAATTTGAAATGACAAAAATCGCCAGAGTGCTTTATTAGTACTGACGTATCTGCCCATTTGGAAGTTGCTGATTTCGTCATTCGCATTTCCCGAAGCAATACTAAACACAGCCATGTCGCTGTCTTTTATGACGTATTTGCACAAATATTTGATTGATTTGGCCGAATGACAACTCTCAACGTTTGCATGTGTTTCGAAAATTCGTGATAGCAGCGGGCAATATGGTACAATGAATTCATTTCCGATCTCAATCTCTTGATTTTTAACTTTAACTTTGATAGTTCGACCATTATCTTCTTTTGAACGCCAACGATAAACTGGATATCCATCGTTCCATGTGACTATCTCAGCAACTAACGGTCACGGATATCGT